TCTTTTGGTCTTTCAGTGTGTATGTCCATGCTTCTGGCTACTAACTGAATTTTTTGCAGCAAATTTGGGTTTGGCAACCTCCAGAGGGTCGCCCCCTGAGTGTGCCATTAGTTTAGTTGCACCTAGCACCCTGCTCCTGTAGGTGGTGACATCAGACTCATCTGTCATGAAGTATGGCTGTGTCCTTCAATGAACTCTGAGAAAAGTATTTCACGGGGAGTACAAAAAATCCCTTTTTTGCAGCTTGATTTTCCGTCATCTTGACATGCCCCTATGGGTGCAAAGAGACCTGTAAACCCCTTAAAGACATGCCCTGTTCGTGAACTGACAGAATGTGCAATCTGTGATGACTGGTTCACTCTATAAAGGATTTTCATTCCTCCCAAAATCTTTGCCAAACTGTCCAGTGGAAAAAGTTCCTTGAACAGTGGTCCATTACTGTAGATGATCCTGCAGTCTCAGTCTTAAACATCCCCAAAGGCCTCTTCCCAATGCAGCAGTGCGCTCACTCCTAAGAGTGGGGGGATGTCTGTTACAGGTTCTCTCTCAGGCTCACAGATGCCCCACACCTGTGGGTTACAAAATAAAACGTACCTCCTAACCACTCTCTCCTCTCAAGTCAACTAAAGACTGTTGAATGACAGCAAATGCCCTGAACCATCTCTGGTCCCAGGGAGTGGTTGTTCAAGTGCCCCCTGCAAGACAGGTTCAACAAATTTTACTGAAATCTGTTCACAGTACCAAAGCCTGGTGGGGGTATTCATCCTATTCTAGACTTAAAATCCAATAACAAATGCCTTCAAATTCCAAACGTTTGCTTGCAACTCACAAGGTCTAGAATTGCCTGATTGCAAACCATTACTTCCAGTCTTTTGCATAGCCCTTTGCTTTATCTTCCGCTTGCAGAATATACCCAACACCTCTTCATGCCCTTCTCAGAACTCCGGGCATCAAGATCATGGGTTATATCTTGACAACTTTCTCCTGAAGGACTCGTCTCCCTTGCAGCAGTTGTTAGATGTCCACAGAACAATTCAGATGCTCCAGGTTTTCAGATGGGTGATCAATTTCCAAAAAAATCTGCTCCCCTGCCCTCTCACAATAAGATTCTGCATGACAGTTATAGGCCTTCAAGGCTGTACCATTGGCACAATTTCAAGACCTCTCCATTGACCTGGAACAAGCATGCTTCTTCTCAACCTACCCATGCTCCTGGTCATCCAAGCAAGGTATTCCGTAACCTGGGGGATCTCCAGCCCAGCTTTAACAATAGGAAGTCTTTTCTTCCCTATCACTGGAAAGTGATAACAGGCACCAGTCCTTCAGGCTGGAAGGAAGTGTTCCAGTCCCTCAAGGTTACCTCTGGAAGCGAAGATCCCTTTAACATCCTGCTGCTCAGAGCAGTTTGGATGGCTCTGAAACACTGAACCACGCTTCTACAACACCCAGCTAGGGCACAGTTAGACAATGCCATGGCTGCGGCTTACTGTACATCAGCCATCAAGGGGTTACCATGAGTCTTGCAGCCTTGAACGAAAAACTAGATAATCTCATGGATGAAAACTCACTATGCAGCGATCTCTGCAGTCCACATCCCAGGAGTGGACAACTGGAAAATGGACTACCTCAGTCACTACAACCTGCATCTGGTGGGATGGGCCCCCTACCCAGACAACTTCAATATGACATATCAAACATCCTGATGCATCCAGATTTAACATCAAATTACTTCTGTTTGAAACGAGGACCAAAGATTCCCTGGTTCTGACCTCAAATAACTTAATTACCTCGTCGCCTTCCCTCCACTGCAAAGTCTGCCTTGTCTGCTTAAAAAGGAAAGACAAGAGAGGGAAATGGTGACTCTTCACATCAAACTAGCCCAGAAGAACTAACACACTCAGACTTCTTGCAGACGACTCTAGGCCTCTTTTTTGAAAGGCAAGATTTGCTGTCTCGGGGCCCTCTAATCCATCCTTATTTTCAGTCTCTGGCTTTAACGACATGGCTGTTGAAGCCCAAGTCTTGAGATATAGAGGGGGCTCTAAAGCGGTTGTTCCTGTCTTGTGGAAAGCAAGAAAAGACACTTCTAGGAAGATCTTCTATCATGCCTACAAATCCTTGTTCTGCCTGCTGCGACCACAGGCACTTCAACCCCATAGATTGCGGTGTACCTCAAATTCTGGCCTTCCTACACTCAGGCCTTGACCAGATCTTGGTCTGTGTCATTAAACCCACAACAGTATAATCAGTCTGTATATGCAGTAAAGCATGCTTGTTATACTCACTGTGGAACCTAAAGGGTTAAACCTCTGCATTGTGTAAAAAGGCCATTTGGTCCTGTTTTCTCTGCCCCTCCTCTTGTTCAAAAGTCCACCTGATAAGACAGACTGAACCCCTGGTCATATGCACATGCTCAGTTTAGAGTGTTTTGGTAAAGAGGTTTGTTTTTCTTGGGAGGGTGCATGCGATCAGCACGGGGCCAATCAGCACTGTCCAGAGAGAGGTTAGGGGTTTTGCATCCTCATAGAGCAGAAAGAAAACTCCTCCTACAAGCTTTAACCAGTGCTCTGCTTAAGTTACAAAACTGCTATATACTTCTGATGAGAACAGGTATTTAGCAGTTTATATTTAGTAAAAAGAATTGCATATCCATGTTCTGTGTACTGTGGGAGACTAGATAGTGAATGCAAGGTCCTGGGTTTAGGAACACTTTAAGCACTCTGAAAGGACAGATTTTAACCTTGTTCATTCTTTTTCAAAATCCTCTGGATTCGCTGAGCCTTGTGTTAAGAAAAAAAAAAAAAAAGTGCATCTCGCAAAAAGACCCCGATGCAGCACCCTGTACACTCTATAAAACCCATCAGGGATACTTCCTTAGATAACTTCTCTTTCAAAGTATCCTTTTTGGTTGTCTTCACATCTGTCAGATGTGTCTTTGAGTTGGCATCTGTCTCTTGTATGGAGCTGTTCCTCATACTTCACAAAGACAAGGTTGTCTTTCTGCCCAAGACTATCTTTTCTTCTCAAGGTGGTCAGCCATTCATCAACAGGATGTAGTATGAGCCATCAGAGTCTACCTCAAAGCTACATCTTCATTCGGAGAGACAGATTTAATTTTGTCCTGTCCTCAGGACTTTGTAAGGGACACCCTGCTTCCAAGTCCTGCTTCATAAAATGGAGAAAAAAAATCTGACCGCTAGAGCTTGCACTCTTAAGTAAAGATCTTCTCCTGAGCTTTTAGGTGTCCATTCCATGATATTGAAGGGGGTTTCCTGGGTGTTTCACCACCAAGCCTCTAAAAGCCAGCTGTTTAACCACTTGCCTACCGGGCACTTTTACCTCCTCCTTGCCCAGGCCAATTTTCAGCTTTCAGTGCTTCTGCACTTTGAATGACAATTGTGCGGTCATGCAACATTGTACCCATATGAAAGGTTTATCTTTTTTTCATACAAATAGAGCTTTCTTTTGGTGGTATTTAATAGCCACTGGGGGGTTTTATTTTTTGCACTATAAACAAAAAAAGCAAAAAATTGGAAAAAAAAAAAAAAAAGGTTTCTATTATAAGATTTTGCAAACAGGTAATTTTTCTCCTTCACTGATGAGCATTGATGAGGCTGCACTGATAGCCAGCACTGATAAGGCAACAGTGGTGGGCACTGATGTGGAGGCACTGATATGCAGCAATAATGGGCACTGACAGGCCAATGAACAAGGGCATGGAGTGATATCATCTTCTCTTTCAATATAGAGCAGTATATCTGTGAATTCATGACACCATCAATGAAATGCAACTCTCCGACACCAGCAGCACTCGTGCAGCTCCACAGAAGGACACTGCCACCACCATGTTTCACTGTAGATACCATGCATTTTTCTTTGTATGCCTCACCTTTGCGACGCCATACAGTTTTGAAGCCATCAGTTCCAAAAACATTTATCTTGGTCTCATCACTCCAGAGTAGAGCCCCCCAATGGTCTTCTTATTTTGAGGCATGGACCCTAGAAAATTCTAGGTAGGCTTTTTGTGGATGGGCTTTAGGAGAGGCTTCCTTCATGGACGACACCCATGCCATTCCTCTGCAGAATACGCCGTATTGTGTCAAGGGAAACTATCACCCCAGTTTGGCTTTCTACTTCTTTAGGTTCCTGCAGTGAACTTGATTGGCGATTTTCTTCAACCCTTCCCATGAGAATACTCCTGTCGAGGTTTTAACTTTGTGAACGGCCTGGACGTCTTTGTGAGATGGTTGCAATTCAATCTGTGGTAAATTTTTTTTCATCACTTTTGCTACAGTTTTCTGACTGATATGTAAAGGTTTGCTGATCTTCTTGTAGCCTTCACCTTTGTGTTAAGAAATTATATTTTTTCTCAGGCCTTGTGACATTTCTCTTCCATGGGGTGCCATTGCTGATAGCATGAAATGGGAAGGCGTTTTCTTTGTTAAGTAACACCCTTTTATAATCAACTGTCTGCTGGACACCTGTTTAATGAATAAGTAGACTGACCTGTAGTTGAATTCTTGTTAATTAGGATTTTGTTGTCTAAAATTTAGCTTTGCTCCTAAGACTTTCATTGGGGTGTACTCATTTTTGCAACATGATCTTGAATGAATTTGTTAGGAAAAATACATTTGTGTGTGCAAATTAACAAATCTTGTTTGCATTCAATGGCCTGTAGTTGTGGGAGTATTTTATAGTGTAGTGTCCCATAGAAAATTTTGATCCAGAAATGAAAGGAATGTTTTTCTGACCAATCTGTTGGGGTGTACTCATTTATGCTGAGCAGTGTGAGCGTGTTATATATCTATCTATCATGATGCTCTTAGAGATGGGACTCTTAGAATAGCTCAGAATGTCAGCTGCTTTTCAGAAAGTGTCCTTGGCTATAGTTTGGCTATATGGTCAGTTTAGCTCCAAGTAAAATGTTTAAATCATGCCACATAGATCTACTTTGAAAAGATATCCCATAAATAAATGTATGCATAAATGAATCTACTTACGGCGCTCGATCGTGGTTCATGCCATTTCTGACGACGCTGCATACTGATTGGAGGTAGGATAGGTTTACTGTTGATTTCAAGGCCTCTTCGTAACGCCTCTCGGATTTGCTCGGTATCTAAAAAGAATACAAAGAATCAGTTACATTTTATGCACAGTATGCATTTGATGCCTAAACAAACATGAAGTCACAGCCTGTTTAATAAAACACAGTGGTATTTATACTGTATATAAAAACTGGAGGACAGGAAAAGGATCATGTGTTATGGGTGCCATAGATAGTTCGTTATCTCCTGACAAAAACAAGCAGAGGGTTATCTGGCCACCCTTGAATGAGCTGAAGTAGTACTAGACCTGTACTATATATCGACAATGAACCTCCACTCCCTTACATAGAAGATAGTGGGCTTGGTGCTGTGCACACAAGTTGGAAATTTCTTCTGTGTAATAATCTGACTGCCAGAGACATTTGTTAACATCCCCAAAAGGTCAGAAACTGTTCCCATTGAAGAAGCTTCCAGAATGAGGCTTCCTTGTTGTTTAGCAAGTAATTTAAACTGAATAATTATGCCAAACTTTCTTTTCAGTTTCGGATAGTGCATGGAAGGGCTAGAACCCGTTATGTTTTTACTGCTATCTGGTGCTTCGTTAATGAGGTTTCTTCTCACTTCCTGTTTTAGTGACACTGTTTCTGACCAAAACAGATGGCATAAACCTTTTTCCCCCACTCAACAAGAATAAATGGTGGACATTCACTCTTGCTTTCTATCGCCCTGCTGTAGATTTTTTTTTTTATCTAGTCTCATAAAAGTGCAAGAGAATCTTTCCAAAGTAGCCCCAGACAGCAGTAAAAACTTGCCAGGTGTTCCAATTTCTCCCCACTCTCTAAAACTAACACCTGACAAGTCTTTACATGGATTAAAAAAAAAAAAAAAAAAAAAAAAAGCACAGAGGGAGAGAGAAAGAGCAAGAAAATAGGAGTCCAGAAGCCATCACATATTTGCTTTTGAAAACCAATTTTTCTAAAAAAAAAAGCTACTGTTTTTACAGCAGCCAACACAGCAGCCAATTTTTGCCCCAAACTACAATACAAGGAAGATTCTGACTGGCTGCCACAAACAACCAGTAGTATCTTTTGCAGACATTTTTCTTTTGTGAACCTTAAATTAGAAGTCATCAACTGTATGTATAGTAAACAATCACTAGTATTAATTAGGGTGTAAGCAAACAAGGACCTTTGCCAGATAACCGTCTTGGTTGCGTTCCAATACATATACTCCTACTGTCTTCCTCATCTTCTGGTGGTCGACTCAAATCGTCCCATGCACATTTGGCACTGACTCCGCTGAGGTTCGACCCTTCCGTTTCAATCCCTTTATCAACCCTCTCCTGCTTGAAAATTTAAGAGAAAGAAAAACTCTTTTATAAATATATTCCTGAAAATCAGAGGCTTCATTGATTGTTATTTTGGGAAGCTCGCCACAGCTGACACAATCGTGAGAGGGAAAGAAAAAAAAAAAAAAAAAAGTACAAAAAAAGTGAAACAATTGTTATTAAAAGTGTAAAACCTGCAGAGCGCATGCACACAGCTTTAGGGGGTCATAGAGCATCCAGAGCCTCCGTAAAAACATTCCCAGTACCCATAGCTGCACAACTATAAGATGTTGCTATATGCAGTTATGCAGGTTGCATAAAGCATCCACACATACATATGTTCCAAATGCACGCTTTCCGCATTCTGGCCATACACCTGTGTACGCAGATGCTTTATGCAACCCCCGTCACATAACTGCACACAGACATCTTCTGATTGATGTCTATGAGCAGCTGTACGCAGCAGCAGCTGGTCTTTAGAAAAGATTTACGGAAGTTCTGCATGCTATATGGCACACTTGTGCATGAACCAAAAAAATTAGAAAAAAACAAGGCTACCGTTTCCTGTACTGACAAGAAATATGAACACATTTCTAAAAACGCTTGGTATACAGAGATTCACCTGACACTTTCAGTGACAAAAGTATTTCATTACTCAACCTATAGTGCATTTTTTAAAAAAATTGTGTGGATTTAGTTTTAAAATGCTTTCAGCTGCTTACGCAGAATTTACATATACTGAACATCAATTTTAGACCATGCAACTTCCATCAACTTTTAACTTGTCATACAGGTTAACAGATACAGTGCCTTGAAAAAGTATTTGTACCCCTTGACATATTCTACATGTTGTCAAGTTACAACCAAAAACGTAAATGTATTTTACTGGCATTTTATGTAATGGACCAACACAAAGTGGCACATAATTGTGAAGCGGAAAGAAAATAATAAATGGTTTTTAAAATTGTTTACAAATAAATATGTGAAAAGTGTGGTGTGCATTTGTATTCGGGCCCCCCAAGTCAATACTTTGTAGAACCACCTTTCGCTGCAATTACAGCTGCAAGTCTTTTTGTGGATGTGGCTACCAACTTTGCACATCTAGAGATTGAAATGTTTGCCCATTCTTCTTTGCAAAATAGCTCAAGTTCTGTCAGATTGGATGGAGAGCGTATGTGAACAGCAATTTTCAAGTCCTGCCACAGATTCTCAATTGCATTTATGTCTGGACTTTGACTGGGCCATTCTAACACATGAATATGCTTTGATCTAAACCATTCCATTGTAGCTCTGGCTGTATGTTTAGGGTCGTTGTCCTGCTGGAAGGTGAACCTCCGCCCCAGTCTCAAGTCTTTTGCAGACAGTTTTTCTTCTAAGATTGCCCTGTATTCGGCTCCATCCATCTTTCCATCAACTCTGACCAGTTTCCCTGTCCCTGCTGAAGAAAAGAATCCCCCCAACATGATGCTGCCACCACGTTTCACAGTGGGGATGGTGTGTTCAGGGTGATGTGCAGTGTTAGTTTTTTGCCACACATAGCGTTTTGCTTTTAGGCCAAAAAGTTCAATTTTGGTCTCATCTGACCAGAGCACCTTCTTCCACGTTTGCTGTGTCCCCCCACATGGCTACTCTCATACTGCAAACGAACTTCTTATGGCTTTTTTTTTTTCCCCCAACAATTGTTACTTGACACTTTTTCATAAAGGCCAGATTTGTGGAGTGCACAACTAATAGTTGTCCTGTGGATAGATTCTCCCACCTGAGCTGTGGATCTCTGCAGCTCCTCCTGAATTACCATGGGCCTCTTGGTTTCTTCTCTGATTAATGCTCTCCTTGTCCGGCCTTTCAGGTTAGGTGGATGGTCATGTCTTGGTGGGTTTGCAGTTGTGCCATACTCTTTCCATTTTTAGATGATGGATTGAACAGTGCTCCGTGAGATGTTCAAAGCTTGGGATATTATTATTATTTTTTTTTTTATAACCTAACCCTGCTTTAAACTTTTCCACAACTTTATCCCTGACCTGTCTGATGTGTTCCTTGACCTTGTAATTGGTTACACTAGATTTTAGTTAGGGATATCAAAGTAAACAAGGCTGAATACAAATGCACTCCACACTTTTCAGATATTTGTAAAAAATGTTGACTAACATTTATCATTTTCCTTCCACTTAATTATATGCCACTTTGTGTTCGTCTATCACATAAAATCCCAATAAAATTCAAGTTTTTGGCTGTAACATGACAAAATGTGGAAAATTTCAAGGGGTATGAATACTTTTGCAAGGCACTTGAAGTGCATTTCTAATACACTTTAGAAAACATAAGTTAAACATTTAAAGCCTTTAGCGATTTGGATGACGCAGAGAGCAATCAAAGGTACTTTTTTAGTTAAGAATACATACAAGAATTTTGTTTTTAAAATAGGAGTTTAGTGTTACTTGAAGCCACCACCATGTGATTCTGATAAATAAGGAGTTATCCACCATGCATTAAAGTGGCCCTGTCAGCAATATTTAATTTCAAGTCGAGCCTGCCCCTGCAATAAAGAAAGTAAATAGTTACCTCTCTATCCACCCATGCTGCTCCAATCAATATGTACCTAAAATCTACACTTCTGGGAGTGAAGATATTCTGTGTCCTCAGCAACACTCAGTGGTTCCTTCCACTAACTCCCTACATCATTACAGGACACAGTGGTCAGTGAAAGGAACCAGTGGCACTGCAGTGGACACAGGAGGCTCCCAGAAATATTAGTTTCTTCACAGACCTCATCCTGCAATGCCTCGTTAGCAGCACAGGCCTTAGAAGCGGCAAGATGTTAAATATTTTTACAGGGGAAGAGCTTATCTGAATTTAATATTTCCTGACAGGGTCACTTTAATAAATGGTGAATAAATAAAAGGACCATTTGAGGGACAGATCAGTCTTTGTTGGGCAAAGAGACCTTTAGACATCTTGATATCGTACCACATCTGGCATTACAGACTTGGTAGCAGCACGAAATCCATTACGTATACATTAAATATTAATCAGTACATGTTATTAAGTACCTTTATAGAGCTTCACAAATCTGCTGTCAGTGGTTGGAGGACCTCTGCTTACACCATAGATACAAAAACACAGTAAATATTTTAATTTACACCACTATTACATTTTTGTGATCTTCATAAGTAGACATACCTGCAAATGAGGGTCAATTTCAAAAATAGTCTCTCCTCTTCTCATATCAGTTATTAACCAAGGTCCTCCCGCTCTGAATAAGGAAATACATTATATTAAAGTTACTTATTCATAATAAAGCAAAAAAAAAAAAAACTCCCTAAATTCTCTGAAACAAGCTGGTCTTGAAGAAAAAACTGGATCCCATCCATCTCTTCTGAAAGTGAGATGAGATGTTCTCAAGAGCCAAGCCTACCATTAAAAATGTTATCTGGTCCCAGGCCACCATAGGATCCCAGAGTTTTCTTGAAGACTGTCAAATGTTTCAGGATTTATGTTAATGCATTTGAACATAACATGTACTGTCTTTCCAATCTGCATGTAAGAGATCAGTTTTGTGCAAACATACGTATTCATGAATGAATACGTATGAATCTTCATACTTCGTATAACAAAAAAAAACTATGGATGGATGAATAAAAATGTAAAAAGCTTTTATCAGACAGTTACTTGGAGATAAATCAAGGCAATAATGTAGTTGTGGCAGCAGCATGGCAGGACAGATTTTACTTTACTTTACTTGGGGGCTGCTTTAAACATGCATTCAGAAGCCATGAAAGTTGTGCTTCAGTGAAGATTTCCTGCTCTTATTAAAAAAGCAAGTGTAAATTAAAACAAACTTAAAAATTGGACTGACAGTCATTATACTACTCAATAAAATGGGTAATTAAGTTGTCATCCTCTATATACCTGACTGCACCAAAACCATAAAGATTCTATGGACCTTACCAATGAAAGTGCCAGGAAAAACTATCCCGGCCGTGCATAGCAACACAGAAAATCTCCAAGTCACTGTCCAAACGTATCAGAGATCGATTGTCTCTGACAGGTTACTATGGGCAACAAGTCATTCCTTGAGATCCTTCAATAGGAAAGACCAATTATATTCTGTTTTACTTTTTTTTTTTAAACTCTGTCTTCTGTTGCTTTAAGGCCTGGTTCACATCTATGCATTTTTTAGTGCTTTTTGTGTTTTGCAGAAATGCACTACAGTTAATTTAACATGGTTTCCTATGGGATATGTTCACAGCTATGTTTTATGGACTTTTTCCCTGAAGCAGATTGCAACACGCCTTAGGTGTGAAACAGGCTTAAATATACATTTCAAGAGCTGAAACAGAAAAAGGTAAGTGCTCAGAGAACATGCCCATGTTAAAGGGAGTAATTTTGATTCTGAATTTATCATTCTGTCATTCCTTCAGCTAACGAATTTGGTTTTACAGAAAGAGGAAACAAAAACCATGAGGATTAGATTAACCTTAAAAAATAAAAAAATGAAATCAAGATACAAAAAGGAGCCCAAAATTTAGGAAAAGGAGGAAATTTCATACAGAGCACACCAGAATATGAAAAACTGATAAAAACAACAGTTATACATTTTATGATTTTCATTTGTATTTGTAAGCTGATGGTTGCCAAGTAAAGCAGATAAGAAGCGCTTACTTTCCAGTGTCATCTGAGCACAACAAAGGAGGTTCATTCTCAAAATGGGTACAGAGATGTTCATTTCATAGATTAACTGTATGCAGTAAGTCACAATAACCAATCAGATCTCATTCTTTGCCCTGTGTATATACTTAATTACTGAAAGGTGACCTCTAAATGTTCTTTAGACTGCACTTAGCCCAGCAGGAAATTCAAAATACGGTTCTATAGTTTTAAAGTATGGTCAAATCTCCTACAAGTCTATACTGCGTTCCCTAATACACAGCTTGCAACAACCTATAGCAAGCAACCAGATGCCAGACCTTTAGAACAGTTAGTAGAACATCATATATGATAACTGATTGCTTGTTGCAGACTGCATTATATCTATTGCCTTGGTTATCAACTTGTATAATGTAGCTACTGAGCTCAAATGTGTAAGCCATGCTGCATTCCAAACATTTCACTCAGGGCTAACAGGAAGTGTGGGACAGATAAATGGGCTTGCTATAAACGTGTAGCATCAAGAGTGGTGTCTGTCCTTCCATTTATGAGTGTTAAATATTTTTTTTTAAATATCATTCTCAATATAATCAATTCTTAAATGAGAATCAGGCCTTGGCTGAAACCGTGGTGGACTTTCAGGATTAAAAGTTATGCAGGTGTTGATTTTTTTTCCATTTAATTTTGGTGCAAGTACTGCACATTGAGGATACCCTTTATGAGCAGTTCATGTGCTGTACAATCCCAGGTCTTTGCAAGAATAGCGAAGCAGGACGAAAAAAAAAAAAAAAAAAAAACTAAGATTTTAGCATTAAGTCAATATCAGCCTTAAAGAGCACCACATCCAAATTAAATCGAATAGAAAATTCCCCAAAAGGGAGGACACTGGAGTCTACTGGTGCGTAAGGGCAACAAACTAAAAATATTTTTTAGAATCTTTCACATACATGGATTTACATCTCTGTTAAAATAAATACCTTAAAGAATCCTTGTTTAATAACGTGGAGTCAGTATCACTTCGTGTGTGGGGCATCCTCATCCACCTTGTTGCTGCCCTGACACATTTCACTGGATGGAGCAGTTTCTCGGGAGGACTTCAAGGGAGTGAAAATCTAGAATGGTAATCAAATATAAGCAAGTATCTTTCATATACATACACAATCCTGGTTGCAGGTCATGTGTATAGGTGTACATCGATAGTTACTTTAGACATTTAGTTCTGTTTTACTCAGTAGAGTTGCAAACTCCCCTCCGCCGACTATCCCAAACAAAGAGAGGGGTGTCCAGCATTAAGAACCCTTTGGGGGCAAGTGCAGAGGCCTTTCATGAGACCGACAGGAAAAAGAGGACAGCAGCAAGGGATGAAACCCTAATCGTTTCAAGCTCATAAATGTCCATTTTGTTTTATGTCCTTTAGAAAAAAATCCTTAGTAATCACTTGAAGAAACCTTCAGAGTCTTATCCTCATGCTATAATAATTTTTGGAATTATATGCAAATGGAATTCCTTTTTCTTGCTTTTGAACATACTGGTCAATTTTGAAGCCTGAATATAGGTATAGATCCAGATATAAATTGAAACTTTGGAGAGGCATGCACACGTACATATTAAGAGTTTAACAGGGTTTAACAGTCTCTTGCCGCTCTCCTTTTTCCCAGTCAGTCTTATGTAAAGCCTCTGTGCGCGACCACACCACCCCACCCCTCCCTGCAGGTTCTTAGTGAAGGACGCCCCTTTATGTGGGAAAGTCAGTAGAGTGGGGTTTGCGACTCTAGTGAGTAATACAGAACTAAAAAAAGTATAAGTAACCCGTAGACATGCAACAAGGATTGTGTATGTATATAAAAGATACTTGCTTTTATTTGTGATTACCATTCTAGATTATTACCCCCTTAAGTCTTCCTGAGGAAGTTGGTCCATCTCGCAAAATGCGTTCAAGCAGCAACAAGGTGGATGAGGAACCATCCAGAAACACTATTTGTGATATTGACAAAGGAAATTTTTATTGCATTCATTTTAACAGTGGTGAATATAGATAACATTTTTAAGTTTGTGTCCCTTACAAACCAGTAGAATTCCAGTGTCCTCCCTTTTTGGGATTTTCCTATATCTGACAGTACAATCTCCTTTAGGTTTATTAAAACTTACTGATGAGCTACCTAAACTATCCATTCTATTTGTATCCAATCCAGCAGGTCCTCGCACTACATAGTTGCTAGTAACAGGATTGTTTTTGATCTTCTGCCTGGTTCCTATGTATCGGGATCCTGTATATTATTTTCCTTTTGTTATATTGTGAAAAGAAAAAATTGAAAATCTGAAGATAATCAAAAAAAAAAGTAAAAAGGAGGATTGTATAATCAGATGTTAATGTGTACAGTAAGCTTTAGAACAGCATTATCACACAAAAAATTGTGGGTTCTGAATATTAACTGCAGACTTGCAAAACAATGTTACTTACACTGGTACAGTTCGAAGAAGGTCTAGTATGCCCTGCCCATTCCATTGCTGAGCTGCATGCAGTTCTTCAGTGCATACACCAACTATCTAAAAGAACAAACAATATAAAAAGGTTACACAAATGCAGGAACACCAAAACTGTCCACACACACCCCAACATCTGCAAACAAAGTTACCATGTTATAGAAGTGAGCTCCCACATGAGGTCTAATCAATCAAAACACTGTAGAAGTGAGTATCCATGTGAGAACAAACCATTCAAAGAGTGTAAAGGTGAGCTCAAACATGAAAATTATCCAGTCACAACATTGTAGAGGTGAACATCCACAGGCGAATAAAATAAAACCAACCAATCAGAATATTGTAGAATGAGGACCACACACTTCAAATGCTAGAGATGAGAACAAAATGCTGTAGTGGTGGGTTCCCATAGGATTAACACTTTACAAAAGTGTTAAAAGTGCTTGTTAGGGCCTGTGAGGATTACTTCAGTTTGAGATGCTTCAGAGATCATTCAGAATTCATGACAGGTAACATCTGACCTCCTCCTGACTTGCTTCAAATAGGTTTGGATTGCTATAGACATGTATGGAAATGCAAAACTCACTCGAAGCAAACAAAAACCAGTCAAATGCAGGTACTAATCGTTTTCAGCATGTTGAAAGTCATCTATTTAACCAGAAAGCCTATTTAAAATGCCAGTAAATCAAAGCAGGCATTTGGTATATGTAAAAATAATATTTACTGTACTTGTGAGAGAATCATTTCAGGAGATTATCAAAAACCTTTAGGGCCCATTCAAATCCAACTATTGTGGTGCTTAAACCATGTGCTGGAGAAGTGCCTTTTTTCCCCCCAGGCAGTGCATCACACAGTAATACTGTGCGTTAGAAAGTATTTTCTCAGAAGCAGCTCACTAATTTTTATGTACTTTCTGGTGCGCTGGCATGGGCTGCATTAACATAACACACTGGAATATGCACATCTGAATAGGCCCTTTCAATGAAGATGCTATAAAAAAAGAAGTACTACTTACAAAAACAAAGAAAATTTTTATGTCATTTCATTGCTGACATTCACAAGCAAAGCACTCTCGTCTGACCGCACTATTAATTTTGCTTCAGAGGCTGAAACCGGGAGGACCTCGACCATTCAAATTAGCTGTTAAATAAGGCCACATTGTACTTTTTCAATTTAACAGGAATGAACAACACCGTGGGCACATTTGTCAAACGAAACATCTGACAGTAAATCCTGTACAGCACTTACTTGTAAAAAGGATACAATACCAAACGGCGTCTGCACTGGCTGCATTTGGGGGTCTTCTGTCAGAAGCATGTGCTGAATACGAGACTCACTGTTGTCCAGTGGACTGTGCCATGACACATGATCACCGCTGCAGAAGGTGTTCTCTGTAATCAGCCATATAACATGTAATCACAAAAAAACATCCACCAAGAGTTTGGCTATATATTCAGTCAGCTGTCCTGCCTTACTTAGCAGGGTTTTAAATGGACAACGTGTTGTTGCCTCTAGCAGCTAAGCTTATTTGCCCTATGGAGTATCAGTGAATGAGAACTGTTCTTTTTTCAAAACAAAGCTCAAAACAGTTCTTGGCTCTGTCATCAAGTACTACTAAACACACAGGTCAGGTTTTATCACATATTTTATGGGCCGGTAAGCATTTGCTGCCAAAAAGTTGTTACATCCCAACGGTTTTATGGTTGAGGGAGAGAAAATGTCTATGAGGCTTGAGAGTACCAGGTATACAGATAGTCCACTTGAGGATTTCTAAATAGTTGCATACAGCTAGCCCTTTCATGGGACAAGTTAATTAACCAAGCAATAAAACTCAGAGCCTGCAGTTTATAATACTTTCACCATGAATACAGGCAGCTACCGTCTCCACTATGAAACAATTAATTAGAAACACAATGTATATACTTCATGCTCAACAAGAGTTTAAGTACTCAAAGGATGGTGTTAAAGACTTTCAATAGTTCCCAGTCACAGTTATCACATTCTTTTAAGTAACAAAGAGCCAGAAGAATCCAGCTTGCTCCAATAATCAGGAGGGTACGCCAATCAGTTGGTGTCCATCGAAAATGTGATGTGACTAGGAATGCAGGCTTCACATAAAGCCAGTTTAAAGAACAAACAGAGCTGAACAGCTGAGGTATAATTCCATAATACAGATAATATCCTGGCTCTGAGGGATGCAATGGTTGGATCCACTGATCTCTGTATGGACAGAGGCGGGATAAATAAAAAATGTGGCTCTTGTCAGAGGCTTCCTTGAATACTGCACTTGGGATTCACGCTGAGATATTCCTGCTCCTGTAAGCTGCCAATGGAAGTAGTACCACAGATAAGAACACGATACTGTAAAAAGTTGCTTTTACAGCGTTTTCCTCTAAATGGCAGTTTTGTGTACATTTTTAAAGAAAAACAAGGGCATTCTTCATTTCCCTTTCCTGTTTTAAGCTGCACCATACGTGTATAAATGTCTGATAGAGAAAAAAGGTCTCAGTCGCCTGAAATCAGGTTATAGATATAAATCAATGAGCTTTCAGCTATTGCTCTAACACAGCAGCATTTGGCAAAGTAAACCAAAATGCTTCCTTTCAGCTACTGCTCTAACACAGCAGCATTTGGCAAAGTAAACCAAAATGCTTCCTATGCTGTCACCAGAGGGAGGGGGGGGGGGAGAGAGAGAGAGGGGGAGAGAGAGGAGGGGGGGAGGGGGGGCAGAGAGAGGGAGGGGGGGGAGAGGGGGGGGGAGAGAGGGAGGGGAGAGAGAGGGGGGTGAGAGAGGGAGGGGGGGAGAGAGGGGGGGGAGAGAGGGGGGGGAGAGGGGGGGGGGGAGGGGGGAGAGAGAGGGGGGGGGAGGGGGGAAGGGGGGGGAGAGGGGGGGGAGGAGAGAGAGGGGGGGGAGAGAGGGGGGGGAGAGGGGAAGGGGGGGAGAGAGAGGGGGGGGAGGAGAGAGGGGGGGAGAGAGGGGGGGAGAGAGAGGGGGGGAGAGAGAGGGGGGGGGGGGGGGGGGGGGAGAGGGGGAGAAGAGAGAGAGGGAGGGGAGGGGGGAGAGAGGGGGGAGCGAGCGAGGGGGGAGAGGGGGGAGGAGAGAGGGGGGAGAGGGGGGAGAGGGGGGAGGAGGGGGGGGAGGGGGGGAGAGGGGGGAGGAGAGGGGGGAGGAGAGGGGGGAGGAGGGGGGGAGAGGGGGGGAGGGGGGAGAGAGAGCGAGGGGGGGGGGAGAGGGGGGAGGGGTGGGAGAGAGCGAGGGGGGAGGAGAGGGGGGAGAGAGGGAGGGAGGGAGGAGAGAGAGAGAGAGGAGAGAGAGGGAGAGAGAGGGAGGAGGGAGATAGAGGGGGGGAGAGAGGGAGGGGGGGGGAGAGAGAGAGAGAGGGAGGGGGAGAGAGAGAGGGAGGGGGAGAAGAGAGGGAGGGGAGAGAAAGAGGGAGGGGGGACACAAACTTTAATGGCATCCCAGTCTTAGTAGGGTTCGATATTGAGTTGGCCCACCCTTTGCAGTTATAACAGCTTCAACTCTTCTGGGAAGGCTGTCTACAAGGTTTAGAAATGTGTCTATGGGAACGTTTGACCATTCTTCCAGAAGCGCATTTGTGAGGTCAGGAACTGATGTCGAACAAGAAGGCCTGGCTTGTAGTATCCGCTCTAATTCATCCCAAAGGTGTTCTATTGGGCTGAGGTCAGGACTCTGCAGGCCAGTCAAGTTCCTCCACCCCATACTCACTCATCCAAGTATTTGGGGACCTTGCTTTGTGCACTGGTGTGCAGTCATGTTCGAAACGGGAAGGGGCCATCCCAAACTGTTCCCACAAAGTTGGGAGCATGAAAATGTCTTGGTATGCTGATGCCTTAAGGAGTTCCCTTCACTGGAACTAAAGGGGCCAAGCCCAACACCTAAAACACATCCCCACACCATAATCCCCCCCCTCCACCAAATTTGACACAGTCAAATTTGATCCAGTCAGGCAAGTACTGTTCTCCTGGTAAATGCCAAACCCAGACATGTCCATTGGATTGCAAGACAGTGAAGCGTGATTCGTCACTCCAGAGAACACGTCTCCACTGCTCTCGAGTCCAGTAGTGGAGTGCGAAAATTTGCATTGCACTTGGTGATGCAAGGATGGATATTGGATGCAGCTGTTTGGCCATGGAAACACATTCCATGAAGCTCTCTACGCTCTGTTTTTGTGCTAACCTTGTAGGCCACACAAAGTCTGAAGGACTTTAGCTTTTGACTATGCAGAGAATTGGCGAGTTCTGCGCACTATACGTTCAGGATGTGCTGACCCCGCGCTGTCATTTTATGTGTTGCTGTTCTCAGTTGCTTCCACTTTGTTATAATACCACTAACAGTTGACTGTGGAATATTTAGTAGCAAGGAAATTTCATGGATGGACTTATTGCACTGATGGCAGCCTATCACGGTACCACGCTTGAATTCACAGAGCTTCTGAGAGCGACCCATTCTTTCACAAATGTTTGTAGAAGCAGTCTTCATGCCTAGGTGCTTGATTTTATACATCTGTGGCCATGGAGGTGATTGAAACACCTGAATCCAATGATTTGGAGGGGTGTCCAAATACTTCTGGTAATATAGTGTATATCAGTCGATCAATCAACCTTGCCTATAAACTAGTTTTTTTTTTTTTAATTTACCTGACTGAAAAACATATCTGGCAAGCCCCTGCATCAGCTCCGCAGGCCATGTTGGTGGTGCAGATTCTTCAGGTTCTCTTTTCAGCCTGAAGGAGAGTTCAAACCCAAATCCACTTGCTCCATCAACTCCTGTGTATCTATAAAAACAAGCATTGCAAATTAGAAAAAAATTACATATCCTCACTAGAAAATCTTGGACATGGAGACTTCAGTAGGAAGCATGTGACAGGTAATGTTAAACACACAATCAGGGGAATTCAGTAAAGCAGTAATGTCACTTTTCTGTTGGCATGGACCCTTTAATATGTCCTGCGCCCAATTCACGAGAGCCTTGACACTTTTTTGGTACAATTACTGACGCCTGCGCCAGATTCAGGTAGTTACTACATCCATTTTTTTTAATTTGTTACTATGGCTGTGACATATTCTAAAACAATAATCACCAATTCATAGATAAGCAAACTAGCAGTAACCAAAACCAACTCAAACGTTTGCATATGGTGGGGATGGAAGTTGAGTTGCATGCTCATTAAATTATTAATATGTTTAAATGTGTTTTTAATTCATTTTACTTTACTGGTTGCTAGGATGAAGGTCACGCGCATCCTAGCAACCAACGCCATGGGTTCTCACATAACTGAAGTGGGAGGAGCTTGATGGGAAACTCAGAGACTAGTCCCCTATAAGGTCTGCCTTGCCTGTGATTGACAGCATATGGCAGTATGCAGATTCCTAATCTGCCATTCAGTCAAACAGAAGCTTTGGAATTCATCCCGCCATCTGTTGTCAAAGAAGAGGCGTACCCAATGAGAAACTAGTCTAACAGAGTTGCCCCATCAGGTCCTGCCCATATCATAACTCAAATCCATGGCTGCAAAACCTGTTTGGTAGGTGGAGCCTGACGGAGGAAATCTGAGACTAGTTCCCCATCAGGTCCGCCTAGCCTGTGATTCATGGCGCAGTGGCTGAGGAGGGAGCATACGGAGGAAGGAGGCCAGTATGGACACTGATTTCATTGCAGGCACTGAGAGATTCATGTACCTGGCTCTGGTTCTGAGTCAAGGCTGATCTAGTCAGGGGGTTGCTCCAGTTTTTTTTTTTTTTTTTTAACAAATAGCGTTATTAAAAAAAAGTTTAACCTTATGACAAACAACTAAATGTACATTTTGGTATACAGCAGCATCATTAGTAAAGGCAAGGTAGTTCACAGACTATAGACAGTAAACATAAAATCCACACAGTATTCACAGTTGGAGTATATACACAGGTCAGTAAATTTAAAAGACACCCCCAATCTACCAGGGAAGCATTAATGAAAACGGAGGTGAAGGAGATTTCCACTTGAGAATTATTTCCCGTCTGGCATAATACATAAAAGATAAACAGCTTAGTGTACTTGGGTATAGTCAGTATATCTGTAGAACCCAACGGTAAAATTAGCGGGTCCATGGTAAAGACCGTATATTGAGAGCATTAATAGTGTTCACTACTCCTTGCCAGTGTGGTTGTAACTTGGAACAAGACCAAAACATATGGAAGTAGGTACCTACATCTAGATCACAGCGGAGGAAGGTGTTTGACCTATTAGGATATATTACAGAAAATCGTTGTGGGGTATAGTAAATCCTATGGACAAATTTTAGCTGCAAAAACTGATCTCTTGCCAATATCATAGTGGGGGACAAAGTGACTGAGGAGGACTGTCTTCTACAAAGAGGGGAGATCAGTATTCCATCAAATTAATTCAAAATTTTAGGAGTGGATAGTGTGGACAGTTGTGAGTATAAAGCGGATGGTGGTTTAGGGAGGTCCTGACAAAAGGAGCATATTTTCAAAAGGGTCCATCTGGAGGGCATTTGGATTGGGAAATTGGGCCCATTTGCCATTTTTGCTATGATAAGCAAGGGCCACCATCTTCTACTCCAATAACTTTCGCTCCTTCCCTTAGTTTCTAAGGCACAGTCCTCCAAATTTTGCAAGGGTGGTCACAAAAACAATGAGCTTATAATAACTTTGCCAAGCTTCTACTGGCTCACAAATTAATTTAACTAGCTTCTAAACTACTAGCCTGCCCGCCATTGTTGAACTGTATGCAATACTGTGCATAACAAAAAGGGCCTGACAAACAAAAAGTTCACAATCTAACGATCACTAGCAGAAGTATTTACACAACTCTCTTTCCCCTCTAGTGACAATAAAGGCTACCAAGGACAGACCGCTATATGCTGTACAAGTATATATCCAATCCTAAAGCTCAAGAGGTATGAAAACAATCAATGTGTGTGACCACATTAGAAGTTTAAAAAAAAAGGAAAAAAAAAAACAAAAAAAAGTAGAATACTCTGCCCTCAAATCCCATGCCACCACTACATCCATCAGGGACATACCAATCACATATGTATAAAAAGCTTTCTTAGAGCACTGCTATTTAGCATATACAGTGGCAGGTTTGCACAGCTGCCATAAGCACCATGTACGAGATTGCTTGTGTTTATACATGAATATAACCAGATTGGTCACTATTAGCTTCTCTATATTTACTCAGTTGTTTTCCGCAGTTCCCTAATGTGGGCAATTTGTAAGGGAATGCTGGTTTATTTTTTACCATAATTTTGTTTTCAGGACTGAAAGGGAAAAAAAAAAATAATCAGGCAAATATTAAATATTTTGCATTTGCTTTGTTAGCCAGGAGAAAGAGCTTTTTACAAAAAAAACAGTAGCCCAAGCTGAAATTTACACACAAAAATGCTTAAAGCATTCGTGTAGCCTTATCAGCACAAGGGACAACTATTATTCTGATGTTTCCCTTGTGCTGCTGGCTCTAGGATTCCTTGAGAGTGCCCAACTATGCCCACCCTTTCCACCCCGCTCCATCACTCATAGAAGCTGCACTACAGTATCTACGAACGAAAGGTGATATATGAATGAAGGAGGCAGACCTTGTTAATTATTCTCCATTCAGAGATCTCTTCTCATTCACAGAAGCTGTAGTATGGCTTTTATGAATGGCAGAGCTGGGTGGAAAGGGCAGAGCTAGTCTAGCATTCTTCTTGATCGCCTGTCACAGCACCATCCGCTCTATTAAATTATGCTACACCGGAAGATTACTGCTGCGAAGGTAGGGGTGACCATGGGGTTGGAGAAAGGGGAAGATTTGAAGAAATACAACAGCCACCAGCACAAAGGATACATACACCTGATTAATAATAAATCAGGTCAAGTACACGGATTTCTTTTTTTTTTTCCCCACTTGGGTTTTAACCCCTTTCACTGCCAGAGCCGTTTTGCTTTTTTTTTTTTTTTTTGTACAGGTTTAAAAAAATCATTTTTCAGAAAGCAGACACCCTAGAGAATAAAATATAGTTCCAATTTTTTAGGTCACATGATATTACTGCAAAGGTCTAGGAAATGCAAAATTTCAGTACAAAAAACACACCAAAGTAGTGAATATTAGGGCAAATAAATACAATAAAATAAAGGCTATAGGCCACGCTTCAAAAAGCCTCTACAGCCAGGTCATCAATTTAATGTTCTGGAGGAGGTTTTGTGGTAGAATTATTGCTCTCACTCCGGCATGCACGGCGATGTGTAAAGTGTATCGCAATCAACGTTTTCATGTGTAGATGCCCATTGCAATACATCTCTCTGAGTGAAGTGACAGCGATGACCCAGAAGTGACAGCATACGCATCGTTTTCCCAGGTCACAATAAGAAGGCGAGGAGAGCATATATGTCCACTCTCTTCTCTCTGCACCCTCCCACACCAGCCATGTCGGCCCTGGTCCCGCAGATGGGCAAGAAGAGCCCAGATTACTTGATGGGAGTACGCGCACACGGGGGGCACATTACTGGGGGTTGTGGAAGCAATGGTGCGGCAGCGCTGCAGCTTGACTGCTTACACCTGACAGGCAGGAGTCTACCTGTCAGTTTTAGACACAATCCCGGTGACTGCAACCACTGGATTGTGTGTAAAACCCCCCACTATCAGGTCCATACGACGTACAGACCTGGCAGCGACATACAGACCTGGCAAGGGTTAAAGTGATTGTAAAACAACATGTCATACTTACCTGCTCTGTGCAATGTGCAACATAGTAGCCAATATCCTTTTCTGGGGTTGTACGCTGGTGCTCCTGGCTCCTCCCCCCTGACAAGTGCCCACACAGAAAGCCACCTGCTATGGGGGTACTTGTGCGGACTCGCTCCTACGACTGCTGTGTGTGTCCACTGACACATTTGGTAGGGCACAGCCCTGCCCTTTCCTCACTGGCTGTGATTGACAGCAACAGGAGGCAATGGCTTCAGTTGCTGTCTGAGCCAACAAAAGAGGGAGAGCATTGAGAGAGCCCCTGCTCTCGTGCACCTCGCTGAATCGAGATTGCAGGTGGTTATTACTTCAATGCCGAGAATGCATTAAAAACGGGTAGTAAAGTCTTTTTTTAAAAAAGAGAAGAGAAATGGTCCATCTGTGGGTTTAAGTCTTAATGTACTAGTATGCATTGAATATTAGCATATTATGAAAACTTACCTGCAAACAGAGCTCTCCAGCGCTGCGCTGTCACTGCTCCCTCCAGGCATTGGTGTGCCATAATTTCCCAGTCTTTCTTCAGGGTTCTTCATCTTTGGCCACTTGAATAGCCAGGCTGTGATGACGTCACTCCCACAAATGCAAGTCACATCTCCACAGCACACAGAGCAGGCGATAAATGTAGTCTGAGCTGCGCATGCACAGCTCAGATCATATTACCACTCACAGGCAGGGGGAATATTTATAATAGAAGGGACTACTAAGGTCTCTTCTATTATAAAAATCCTGCTGTCAGCAGATTTTGCATTAACTGGTTTTACTACCACTTAAAAAAAAAAAAAAAAAAAAAAAAAGGTAAAAAAAACCTATCTGCAGAACCACTTTAAACTTATAATCAGCAATTATATCAATTGCCCTTAATAAAACAGTCTAAAGTTTAAATTTCAACTAAAGAAAGTTTCAAGATAGGAAGCCATAAGAGATATAAAACATTTAAAATCCAATAAGCTTATGTAATATATGTATCTAAATCATTACAGTTTCCCTTTAAAAACCTTCTGTCAAAAAGTAAAAAAAAAAAAAAATCCTGGCAACATAAATGTCCATAGT